CAGCCGCCCCCAGCCACAGTGCACAGCCCACAGCCCTTCACCCCAAACAGCCCCCGGGTTTGCCTGCCTCTCCCCGAGTGATGACGAGTCTCAGGAATGGTGGCCCCCACGAGGGAGAGAAGGGAATCTTACTTTCCTGGCTCAGGCTGGGGGTGGCTCCTGAGGGGGTAGAGATGAGATAGCAATTTGTGTCCCATGTTTAGTGACACAATCCAGACGCGGGTGGAATTTTCTTGAGAAGCAGGTGTCACCCTGAGTCCCGTGTGGGATGGTTTAATACAGGGGTTTGTGTGCTTGGAGGGCCGCGGCCCCCGGATCCTCCCCTCATCTGAGGGCTGCTTCTCTAGACTTGAACACATCGGCCTCAGGAGGAAGCCCCCTTCCCAGTCAACTGACATAGGGGAGAAGGCAAGAGACTCCCACCTGCCACGTGGGCCTTGAAATAGCATCCTCTAAATTAGACCTGGTCGTAGCACTGTCCTCTTCATTAGGTAAGGGACAGTGGCAGTTTACCCCACATAGCGTGAGCCGGCCACATGGCTGGAGCTAATTTGGTAAGCACCAGTCAGCTGGAACTTAGGGGGCTGGGGCCAGTAGGTGCTTGGGTGATACACAGCACTTTGGTGACAGAGTCGGGCATTGTCTTGATGGCATAACACTAGGTGACAGTCCAGGGCAGGCACATTGCAGGTTCGGGTCTGCGGGCTGGATGTTCCTTGGCCTGGGGGAGTTTGGGCAGGAACGCCACCATGAGTGAGACACCCCCAGGAGTAACTGTGACACTGATTGGAGCGGCTGAGCCCTTCAGCCAGCGGGATCCTGGAGCGAGAGGGAGCCCCTTGGCGCCGGGCATGTGTGTGGGCTGTGCAGACTGTCCTCCTGGGTCCTCAGTTCTGAGCTGGGACCTCAGGTTGGGAAGGCTGGGGCTCCTGGCTCTGGGTCCCAGCACCCTCCTTCCTGCCCTGGGTGGTGCTGAGGCTGCAGGTAGAGAATCTGCTGCTGGGCCCTGCCCCCGCCCCCGCCCTGTTCCAGCCCAAGGAGCTGCTGGCTTGCTTGGAGGAGTCTCTGGCCGTCCTTGAAGGATATAAGGACGGAGGCGTGGTACGGTTCCCCACTCCTGCTGCCCCAGCCTCACGTGTCCCCACCCAGTGTCCAGAACAGCCTCCACACGCCGGGCTTTACCGGACTCTGTGCAGAGGGGCTCCCGTGACCCTAACCTCAGCTCGGTAGAGATGTCCCTGCTATTTACGGCTGTCAGAACTGGGGCTCCAGGGGAGCTGGCTGTGTGCCCCAGGCATGCTGCTCCTCAGTCGCAGAATCAGGGAGCCCCCAGGTCTGGCGGCCTCCATGGCCTGCGCCCAAGTACTCAGTCTAGCTCTGCCCGGCAGGAGGGGAACTGCTGGGCACCAGAGCTGCACCCTCTGGAGAGGCCCTTGCTCCTCAGATGAAAATGATAAAAGAAATGCCCTGGGAAAGAACTGGAAGGCCTCTGGCCTGCTTCACAGCCTCCTCGCCCTCCTGGACAGCCCCCACCCACGCTCCTTCCATGAAGGAGGCACACAAACGGTGCCCCTTACTGAGGGCGTCAGCCAATGCTGGCCACAGAGAGCTGGTATCAGGAGTGTCCTAGTCTCTACACGCAGGA